CCGGCAGAGGCGGGACCGCAGAACCTGATGGACTGCCCCGAGACCGCCATCTCGCTGAGGCTCCCCAAACCCTAAACACCCAACGCCTCTCTCTCTCTCTCTCCGTATCCAATCAGATCTTCAAGGCATCGAAGCTCTCGGGCCCGGACCGGAGACGATGAGAAAAATTACGACAATAAATATAGACGTTGCGCAAATAGTTGCAGAGCAGAGTAGAGTAGCGAGCTCTGTAGGATTTTAGGCTTAGAATTAACGCAAGCAAAGCAAAAGGCAAAGCCTCGGTTTTTGGCTTTGGCCTTGGCTATTGCGGCTGTGTAATTTTCTTGTTAGTTTTTGGTTTTGGTGCGCTTGATCATGCTCATTCATTGCCAACTCAACCCTTTTTTTCTTTCTTTTTTTATTTTTTATTTTAATTTCTGCTTACTATAAATGTAAAGGGTAAATCCTATTTCTTATAAGGAAATGTTGATAAATTATAAGGACATTAGACAGATTAGTTGGCCAATACATTGTGCATGTCCTCTTATGCTTGAGTTCGAAGCTCGTACTTGTATATTAAAATAATTTAAAATATCGCTTTGTCAAAATAAAATAAAAATTATTTACAATTTTCCTTACTAGAAAACAAAAATTTACGTTCTTTCAGTTTGTAGTTATTTTAGACATAAATATATTGATAATAATAATAATAATAAAGAGTCATGTGTAATTTACCAAGAAAAAACGTCATATGTAATAATGTTGGCTTAATTCAATGGGTGCTTCTGTACAAAAAGAAAACAGTTGCACGCCTATTACAATGGTGTGTGTATTTTTCTTATGAATTTTCTTTTGATTAAGGCTTTTTTTTTTTGGTATTGAAGTGAAACCTCCTGATGAGTTTCCCAAAATGGTAACAACAATTCATATTAATTTACGATCGCCCCGTCTCAGCATAAAATAAACATTAATGATGATTGGATTAATTTACAGTTTCTGATTGTTTAAGTTGAATTGATTAAGCCCCAATGATGATTGGATTTTAGGAAGAAGTCTGTCTGTTTTCGAAGCTATATGTTCTTTTGACTTAGTTCTAGTACTTGATCATGGCTTTTGACTTTTTGTTGCCTTACAATTTTGTTGGAGGCTTTTGACTTTTTGTTGCCTTACAATTTTGTTGGAGTTAGTTTCTGTTTGGTGCAGTTTTGCGCACACCGCACTGTAGTTTTACACACACTGCATTGCAGTTTTCATTTGCTAGATAAATATAGGTTTAGGTGGCCTTGTTGTCCAAATAATTGCTGGATAAATAGAAATTATAGACAAATTGGCAGGCTCCGATGAGCTCTTTTGGATGTTGCTCATTTCAGAAGGACATGGCTCTCCGATCCAGTTCCAAGAAGAGGGTCCTTCCTGGAAAGTGTGCTCAGTGCTAAATGGCACAGTAGGACTTTCATCCAGTTTATTAGTCAGCGATGGTTGAACCACAGAGATAGCAGGATTTGAGGCTGTGCTCTTCCTTTTCTTTCCATAAATGAAGGCTGTGGATCCGATTAATGCAGAAACCAACGAAGCAATTCCCAGCATAGTCACCATGGAAACCTTAAATTCAGTCTCATCAACGGTAAGATCCACTTCTTCTGAAGTTTGAACATTCACACATGAAGCATCCACTTTTGGGCTTATAGGACTGTGATCCTTGAAAGACTCTACTTCAGCACCAGTACTCATTTCACTTTCAAGCTGGAGCTCCTGGACTCCAGAAACTACAGTGTTAACTTTTTCTGCTAGTGAAATCAATACTATCTCCTCCCTCATGCTTACATTACTTTCTGGCTCGCTGTCTATGTGATCAGCACCAACATTTTCTTCTTGACTCTGCTCAACTTTTGAACTTTCTAGTTCAACTAAATCAGCATGTGCAGACTGAAGTACAACTTCCCCAGAAATAAAATTATTGTTTCCTTCTGAAACCTCTTCAATGTTAACAGCTGCTTCAGCCTCTTGGTCAACTTGTTCTTCATGTTCCGGATCAACACGTGCTACTTCTACAGTGCTCTCAACTGCTCCAATCTCTGGCTGACCCTTTTCTTCCACAACTTGGATTTCAACAGGTGTTTCAGCCTCTTCATTAACTTGTTCTTCATATTCTGGATCAGCATGTACTTCTACAGTGTTTTCAGCTGCACCAATCTCTGTCTGACCCTTCTCTCCCAAGGCTTCAATGTCAACTAAATCAAACTCATACTTCCTTTCCTTTCCTTTGTCACTGTGATCAAACACAGAGTATCCATCAACCCGTACATCCTCCATTAAATCAGTCAAATTACAATACTGCAAGGGGCCCAAATCGTGTGCACCTCGGAGATGCAAAATCAACTCAGAAATGAAAGAGACAGAATTAGCAGACCAAACCCGAAAATTTCTAGCTAACCCATCAAGACTTGATCTAGCAAATTCAGCCACTTCAGACTGGTCATATTCCTTCAAAAAGTTCAAGTCTTTAAGCACAGAACTATCAATTTCTGGTGAATGAATAACTGAAACTGACAAAAAAGCAACTACCAACAATAGAAGCAAAGCAGTGAACTTTGATTTCCAAAAGAAGCCTGTCTTGGAGGACCATTTTACTTCAGCAGCCTCCTCCTTTGACATAAAAATGTTGGTGGTGCTAATGTCGCGTGGTTCAGACACATTGACCCCCTGCTTTTCCTCTTCTTCCTCTTCTTCTTCATTTTCTTCTTGTAGCTGCTGTTCCTCTTTTACTACTGCATCAGAAGTAACATCTTCCAATTCCTTCTGAGAATATTCAGACTGAGTTTCCTCAGCAGTATCAGTGTCCGAAGAGCTTCCAGAGATGAAGTTATCCTCAAGTCTCTTGCCCTCTCTTTCCTTACTCAGATAATATTCAATTCTTGGGTTGGGTCTGTAATGAAGGAAGACTGAGTTTCCTCAGCAGTATCAGTGTCCGAAGAGCTTCCAGAGATGAAGTTATCCTCAAGTCTCTTGCCCTCTCTTTCCTTACTCAGATAATATTCAATTCTTGGGTTGGGTCTGTAATGAAGGAACTGAGGCCTTGGAGAAAGATAATTCGTTTTAGGATCGTAAGGAGGAGCAGAGGGATCATCATCAAGGGGTTCTATGACCGGACTGGACTTTGGACAACAAGGTGGAGGACTGATCTTGAAACTCGGGTCAAGATTAACCGAGTCAGGTTCCTCAGAGGCATTTACACAAACAGGTTCCTCTGGTTCGTTTTTGGAACACAAGAGCTCCTTTGAACAAATGTCTTTTTGGGTTTTCGGTGTTGTGAAAACCAGATGAGGGGCAAGGCCTACCTTCATGTGCTCTGGATCCTCCACTGTTGGATTCAAACACGAGCTTTTCAAATCGGAGAATGAGACCGATGAAGCCCGAACTGGCCCGTTCCTCTCCGCCAAGATTTTCTTTCTTGGAGACGTAGTGACCTTGGAAGCCGCTGAAATTGTCGGTGACAT